GAAAGATTTTGTGTGTGATGTATTACTGGTGAGTGGCGATTCTAAAAAATAGAAGTATAAATATGATAAGGTTAAATTTGGTTAGTCTAGGAGTATAAATAGGATAACGTTCATTTTAAGGAGGTTTATCTTTTCAACAATAGGTAAAACGAGGGTGGCACGTGAATTTAAGATTAAGAGAGAGAAGATATGGATGAGATAAAATAGATTAAGGCAGATAAAATAGGAAAATAAGTTGTTTATCTTCTTTTCTTTTTTAGTTTATTTAAAAGGACATTTCCCTTCAGTATAAAGAGGTGAATGAGTTAATAAAATTTGGTTTTGTAAAGAATGGAAGTTTCCCTTCATTGTAAAAAGGTGAATGAATTAATAAAAAGAGGTGAATGAGGTAATAAAATTTGGTCTCATGAAGAAGGGACGTTTCCCTTCATTGTAAAGAGGTGAATGAGTTAATAAAATTTGGTCTCGTGGAGAGATTATTTTGGGGTGGATTTCCTCGTAAACCTTAAGAGAGTGTATATTCTCTTATGTTTTTATTTTTATTTTTTTGGTTTTATTTCTCCCTGCATCAATTGGTATCAGAGAAAGTTAGGTCCAGAGTTTACAATGCCACCAAAAGTGAATCAATTTAATTCTGCTCCGACTATGGATGATCGTTGGGGAGAAATTTTGACTAAAGCTTTAGAAGATTTTTGAACTGAAGTACGTGAGACGAATCAGATGACGTAACATCTAGAGGATTTTCGAATTGAAGTATGTGAGATGAATTAGGAGATGAATAAGAGGATGCAAGAGGTTGGAACAGTTAGAGAACAATTTTTCTCGTGAAGAAGGAACTCACAACCATATTCATCTTGCACCAGTAATTCCACAACAGACCCATAATATTGATTTCAAGTATACTGAAGAAATTTACACGCCTTATTCGCATCTTATAAAGTGACCACGAGATTTTAGTATTAAAATCGATCTCTCAAAATTTCATGGTCAATGGTGTTCATCAATTGAATATGGTGCTTCTTTGGTGGTAGACCCATTCTTAGTTAAGAATAATCAACCCAAGCTCATATTCAACAATTACTCTTGGGACACATATGCAGGCAAATAGTCTTACATTAGTCTTGAAGAAATTGAAGAAAATGTACCGAAGCACATAGTGGGATTACATCACCAATTAGTGATTGGCTTTAGGCTTAAAGCTCGAGGTCTAAGTTTTCTCAGGGAGAATGATGCAAATAAAATTGGGGTTTAGTTTTTATTTTATTTTTTAATAGAAATTGTCCTAGGATAAGTCAAGTTAATTTGGGAGGAGGGAAGATTTTATGCGTGCTATATTATTAGTGAATGGGGAAGATTTCGTGCATGATGTATTATTGGTGAGTGGGGTTTCTAAAAAATAGGAGTATAAATAGGATAAGGTTAAATTTAGTTAGTTTAAGAGTATAAATAGGATAAGGTTTGGTCTACAGGGGTTTATCTTTTCAACAATGGGTAAAACGTGGGTGGCACGTGAATTTAAGAGAGAGAAGATAGGGATGAGAAAAAATAAGTTAAGGGAGATAAAATAGGAAAGTCATATCTTCTTTTCTTTTTTTTGGTCTATTTAAAGGGACGTTTCCCTTGATTTTAAGGGGGTGAATGAGTTAATAAAATTTGATCTAGTGAAGAGATTATTTTGGGGTGGATTCCCTCTCAGACCTTGAGAGATGGTATGTTCTCTCAACTTTTTTTTTATTGTTATTTTTTTGGACTTATTTTCTCCCTGCATCAATTGCATCACTTGAGTTCTGATACCAATTGATGCATTACTGTAGGGAGAAAACAAGACTAGAAAAATAACAAAAAAAAAAAAGTTGAGAGAACAAACCATTTTTCAAAGTCTGCAAGGGAATCCACCCCAAAATAATCTCTTCACGAGACCAAATTTTATTAACTCATTCACCTACTTACAATAAAGGGAAACGTCTCTTTAAATAGACTAAAAAAAGAAAAGAAGATAAACAACTGACTTTTTATCTCCCTTAACCTATTTTCTCTCATCCCTATCTTCTCTCTCTTAAATTCACGCCACCCACGTTTTACCCATTGTTGAAAAGATAAACCCCTTTAGACCTAACCTTATCTTATTTATACTCCCAAACTAACCAAATTTAACCTTATCTTATTTATACTCCTAATAGAAACCCCACTCACCAATAATATATCACGCACAAAATCTTCCCCATTCACCAATAATACATCACACACAAAATCTTCCCTCCTCCCAAATTAACTAGACTTATCTATTAAAAAAAAAAAATTAAACCCCAATTTTATTTACATCGCAAATGGGCCAGTAGTTGGTGTAATTACCCTGGGGGGAAATGGACTTGCAGTTGGTGCAACCACATGGAGAGAAAACGGGCAGGCAATTGGTGCGATCACAGACAAAGAAAATGGGTTGGCAGTTAGTACAATTGCAGAGAGAGAACATGAACCTTCAATTGTAAAGAGAGACAGAATTGGCAAGTTGTCGATGCACTTATAGAGAAATAAACTGGGCCAGTCAGTGCAATTTTAGTCGAAGAAAATTTGCCAGCTGTTGATGTAATTGTAGACACAGAAAATGGGCCAACAATTGGAGCGATTGCATAGAGTGAAAATGGGTGTGCTACTTTGGATTGGATCCAGCAATTTGTGCTTAGAGAGAGAGAATGGGGTAATATGGAGAAAGAGAGAGAGATGAGGATCACAAGGAGAGAGAAAGAGAGAAGTTCGGGGGACTGACACGTGTAGAGAGAAAAGGATGGTTTTAAAAAGGGAAAAATTTCGAAAAACACTCTAAATGGATTATCTATGCAACTTACCCCCACTACAATCTTTTCTCTCACTTTTTTCCACCTAACAACCCTTTTTTGCAAAAACCCCCCCGAGGTAAAAAGTTAACAATTTTTTGACAAAAATACCCTTCTCGTACAAACCAAATCATTACGCGGATCCCAAGTAAAGTAGTACCGGAGTGCAGTACAATACTACTGAAGTGAAATGTCAATAATCCTTACCGGAGCGACGTGGTATATTATCGTAGCGCTGTGGCTCCAGGGACTCCATTGCCAGAGCAGACTGTCGGAGCGTGCAGTCCCACTACCAGAGCGCTATTCTACTTATGCCGGAGCACTCAAGGTCATAACCTACTGCTAGAGCGCACATATTAAATGTCGGAGCTAGTATCCTTAGCGCCAGCGCACAGTCTTCCATTGTTGGAGTGCCATGGCTCCAGGAGCTTCATTGCCGAAGCATTGTCATTAATCATTGGAGCACTGCGGTTCCAGAAGCTTCATTGCCAGAGCGTGGTCCCACATCACCGGAGCGTTTTGGCTCCAGAAGCTTCATTGTCGGAGCATGGTCCTACATCGCTAGAGCGTTGTGGCTCCAGAAGCTTTAATGTCGGAGTGTGCTGTCGGAGCACATAGTCAGACTGCCGGAGCGCGTAGTAAGACTACCTGATTACCATGGTATAACAACACGTTGCTGGAGTGCATGGTGACGATGCCAAAGCGCGTGGTGACGTAGCCAGAGAGAGTTGTGATGTTGCCAGAGCGCGTGGTGACTATACCAGAGCGCATTGTGATGCTGCCAGAGCGCGTTGTGACGATGCCGGAGCACGTGGTGACGCTGCCAGAGCGTGTGGTGATGCTACCGGAGCATGTGTTACAAACCATATTTTTGCAAAATCCACAATTGTAAAGTACCATGAAGTTATTGCAATTCACTTTTATTTTCTAAAATGGTTCTTCTATCTTGCCTCAGTTACCGAACTAAAAAGACACCAAGCAAATACACCTAAAATTTGAACTCGGGTCTCATACTTAAGTTTCAACTCTCAAGCAATATAATAAGGTCACAATATATTTCAACTCTCAAGCAATATAATAAGAGCTTCCAAAACATAGCTAAAGGTCATAATATATTTGCATTCCTCACAAGATGAACACATCAAACTCGGAGTAACGTAACTCACACTAATTTTAAGTCAAAATCCTTTAAGATAAAATAACATAACTGTGAATAGAGAAGAAGACATACACATTGCTTCATGGGCAAGTACAGTAACTCACACATTAAACTTGGAGTATAGTATCCAAGCACATTGCTTCATGGGCTTTCCCTACAAATGAGATTCAATAACTTAAAAGAAACAGCGATAACAAATGCATAGGTTCATTTGATGAGAACGATGCATACAAATCCATGAATATATGAAATCACGGAGGCCAAGGTCTATAAACCATAGAACACAAAAGTTACCCTTTGCATGATGTCTTAATCAAGATAACCAACATAAATGAACAAGAAGAGGAAACTTTGAGGGGAAAAAAGAACTTAAAGAGGAAAATAAGATCAGAGTAAACAAGATCAAATCGAAAAGAACCCTCCTCATATAACCAAGTTACATTGTCAAAAAAATATTCAATCTCCAACCTGATGACTTCCTCATAATTGAAAGGTAGATATAACATTTGTTTCAAAT